TCAGGCTCTGACGAGGGAGGCCTCGTTCATAACTGAGGCAGTTGCTTGGCGGGCAGGAGGCTGCAGAGGCATGGGGTAGGGAGGGTGCTCCTGGAGGGACCTTCCTCTGCCTTCTGAGGAAGGAGCTGCCTCTGCCGGCCTGCAGGTCCCTTCATGACAACAGCTGCTTAATGCCTGGCAGTCCCCACACCAGCCTCCCTCATCCGCCCGCCCTCCTGTTCCCCTTTTTTCATTCTCCTGAGCAAAGAGCCAATTTCACTCAGCAAACCTTTACCAACTGTCCACTGAGTGCCAAGTGCTGGGTTAAGCATTTGACATCTCTCACAGGTGGGGATCTCCATAAGCAGAGTTTGTGATGCAAGGTATTGATTAGGGACCGACACCTATAAAAGGAAAGGGAGAAAGCAGACTTGGTCAGCAGAGAAGCCAACGGATGCCGGTTCTCCAAGCCTCAGCCACCCAGGCAGGGAGCTCGGGAATGAGCGCTGCCTGGCCAGGCCCCTGAACCCCTCACCCAGTCACTGGATGCAGGCTGCCCTGGGAAGGGTGTGACCTCAGGCTACAGCTGAGGAGACCTGGCAGAGATGACAGCTGGCGACTGCCTGCTGACCGCACTCCCCATGCTGGGCAGCGAGCCCTTTCTTGAAGGGATGCCTGGGAGCCCCTCTCTGTCTACAGCAGCCATGATCTGATGGAACCCCCACCACCACCCATCTGTGCAGGAATTAGCTAACCTCTTTCACAGATGAGTTCACAGAGGTTGAGCCCAGAGCAGCTTCCAAAAAGGAAGTTAGAAGCCAGGTCTGTCCATGACCAAAGTTTTATGGTCTCCTAACCATACCATAGGGGTCCTTTGTATTGGGATCCACTTTTATCCATTTGCAAATGGTGGCTGGATAGGGAGCACCACGGATGATTTTCCCGAGCTTCAGCTCCATAACGTGTCCTTAGCATCCAGCCCCCTTTTCTCTTATTTCCTGTAGGACCCTCCCTCTCTCCCACGCTCAGTCCCTGTGGTTCGAGTGGGGCACCACCTCCTGATCCAGAGACAAAGCATGTGACCCAGGCTAATCCAATCAGCGCATCATCACTTTCCCCTGGTCTGGCAAATGGTTTCTAGCTGGCACATGACTGGAGGGGAACCAATCAGAGTGAATTCAAGGACTGTGGCAGGAGCTGCCAGAAAAGTCTGGCTCTTTCTAGGTGCACTTGAACCTGTAACAATATATAGCACTGCTGGAGCTGCTGGTATGTTTCAATTATTCTTTGCTGTGTAACAAATGACCCCAAAACTTAGTGGCTTAAAGAAACAATGATTTATTATTTCTCAGGATTATATGGGTTGACAGTGGTGCTTCTGTTCCATATGGTGTTGGCTGGGGTCACTCATGCGGCTGCATTCAGCTGTGACCGGACTGGAAGGGCCGGAAAGCAATAATGGGGGTGGGGAGAGGAGGATTGGCCCAGCCCAGGCACGGGCAATAAGGAGAAGCATGTTTTGCAGAAAGCTTAAAGATGATAATAACACTGACTAAAAGTCAATCTGCTTTTAATCTGGACGCTGGCAATTCTAAACAATGTTAGTGTTAAAACCCCACCCCACTGGGGCAGACCGCCATCCCCCTTGTTACAAAGACTTCTCTCAGGTTCTGGAAGCTTGGTGGAGACTGTTAGCTGGAGTACCTCAGTTCTCCTCTGTGTGGCCTTTTTTTTTTCCGCACACGACCTGCAATTTTCCCAGAGCTCTCCACACAATCTCTCTCTTCAGCAGGATTCCCTATACTTTCTTACAGCATGACAGCAGGATCCTAAGGGGGAGCATTTTAAGATGTCAGGCAAAATGGACAAGTGCTTATGAAACCTCTTTGTATCACAGATGTTAACATTCTATTGTCCAAAGCCAGTCACATTCAATGGAGGAGGGGACTCCCGCGGGTGTGGATCCTGGGAGGCATGGTTTACTGGGGGCCACCAGTGTAACAGTCTATCATTGTGTGGCTTACTTACCACCTGGAGAGGAGGGGCAGGTAAACCTAAGAGCTGCCGGGGTGTATCAGGCAAGATCCTTAAAGGAAACAGAGGCACTCAAATAGTAATTTCAGGAGAGTATAATAAAGGGACTATTGACAAAGGTGTCAATAGTGTTTAGGGAATCCCACAAAGGATGGATGGTGCTGATCCTTTGGCCTAATAACAGTGGGGACTTTAGCACCCCTCGGCCTAAAGGGCAATAGCAGGATGTGGTTGCTAGAATCCAAGAAGGGTAGCTCTGGCTTTAAGAGGCAGCTGCCTGATAGGAGTTAGGACCTTTGGTAGACGGATCTGACAGGAGAAACCCAGGAGGGAGAAATAATCAACCTTCATCTTCTCCCTTCCTTGATTGCCTGTCATTACTTCTCATTGGCTGGACCCCACCGGAAGCCAGAGGGCAAGGGGAGCTTGCTGTTGCAGTTCATTCAGGTCAACCTCCATGCCACAAAGCAGAGTGGACAAGGGTAGAGAGCAGATCTGCAGGGCCCAAGGAAGATACCAGCACAAAGGGCCATCCTCGGGAACGCTGAAAATGAAACAACGCAGCACAAGACAGAGAGGCTAGGTGGAAAGAAACTGGATCCTGAATGCGTAACCTGGGCCCCTGAACCCAGCAGAGCCTGAAGCGGTTCTATTCCTGGGCTCTTTGGCTAATAAATCCTCTTTTTGCTTAGGCCAGTGTGGTTTGGTTTCTGTCTCTTGCAACCAAAAGATTTCTGATGGATATACTCCCATTGAGGAGCTGGCCCTTTAATAGAATGACTACATTTCACCTTCATCAGAGTCCTCAGAGGTCCAGAGGGCAATTACCATTGCATATGAGCAGATTGAGACTCAGAGAGGTTAAGGGACTTGGTCTAGGTCATCTGGCTGATTGGTGGCAGAGATGAGATCTCAACTTCAATGTTCAATTCTTCAATGTTCTAGCCACATTTAGCCTCTCTCTGTCCCCTACGTATACCATACTCTCTGGCCTCTGCACTGGGTTGCATAATACTTCCCCCCCCCCCCTTAAAAAAATATATATCCAAGTCCTAATCCTTTATTTAAAAATAGGGTCTTAAAAATAAATAAAAATAGGGTCTGTAAATGTAATTAAAGATCTTGAGGTGAGATCATCCTGGATTTAGTGTAGGCTCTAAATCCAATCACAGGTGTCCTTATAGGTCGGAAAAAGGAAGAGATTTGAGTTAGAGACACAGAGGGGAAGGCCAGGTAAAAACAGAGAGCAGTGGCAGAGATTGGAGTGATGAATCTGTAAGCCAAGGAACAAGGCTTGCCCAGAGGCACTGCAAGCTAGGGAAAAGGCATGGAACGGTTCTCAGCACCTCCAGAAAGCACCAGCTCTGCTGATCCTTGATCTCAGACGTCTAGCCCCAAGAACTGTGTGAGAAAATATATTTGTGTCGTTTTGAGTCACCAACTCGATGTGGTAATTTGTTATGACAACCCTGGGAAACGAATACACGACATTTGCATATGCCACCCCATTTGCCTGGCATATGATTCTCTTCCCTTCCCCAAACCTCCACTCCACTCTGACATTTGAGGCTTACAAGTAGACAAACCTGCAGAGAAAAGAGGGGACCTTTCAAGGAATCACTCAAACTGCCCCCCTTTCATCTTATTCCTCCTTGTCCTGCAGGTCTTAGCTCAAATGACACCTCCTCCAGGAAGACTTCCCTATGTTCCTACCCTTCTCTGTGCTCCCACAGTCCCCTAGACTGCCTCTGCCACAGTTGTGCTGGCACTGGGTCTGCTGACATGGCTCGTTTCCCACTCCCCTGCTGGGCCCTTCTCAAGGGCAAGGCCTGTGCCTGGTTCTTTGTGGCTGGTTACCGCACAGTAGGGTTATTCACTAATGCTCAATTCCCCTTCAGTTCTGCTCCACCTCTGGACCCCCGCTCCTTGCGGCAGAAACCCTTTCTGAGCACACATGTGAAATACTAGCTTGAGGTCACTAATGACAGGTGGGGGTGGGACCCCCCCCCTCGAGTCCAGCCATACCTTAGCACAGCCCTCCTGCCAGAGATGCGAAGACCCTGTCATCTCTTCCCTTCCCCAAACCTCCACTCCACTCTGACATTTGAGGCTTACAAGTAGACAAACCTGCAGAGAAAAGAGGGGACCTTTCAAGGAATCACTCAAACTGCCCCCCTTTCATCTTATTCCTCCTTGTCCTGCAGGTCTTAGCTCAAATGACACCTCCTCCAGGAAGACTTCCCTATGTTCCTACCCTTCTCTGTGCTCCCACAGTCCCCTAGACTGCCTCTGCCACAGTTGTGCTGGCACTGGGTCTGCTGACATGGCTCGTTTCCCACTCCCCTGCTGGGCCCTTCTCAAGGGCAAGGCCTGTGCCTGGTTCTTTGTGGCTGGTTACCGCACAGTAGGGTTATTCACTAATGCTCAATTCCCCTTCAGTTCTGCTCCACCTCTGGACCCCCGCTCCTTGCGGCAGAAACCCTTTCTGAGCACACATGTGAAATACTAGCTTGAGGTCACTAATGACAGGTGGGGGTGGGACACCCCCCCCTCGAGTCCAGCCATACCTTAGCACAGCCCTCCTGCTGGAGATGCGAAGACCCTGTCAGAGGCGTGACAAACAGCTTGGCTGATGGCTTATAATGTCAGAGATGATGGAAACAGGGAGGCGATGGCTGAAAGAATGGGTTGGGGACGCTTGTCATAACTTTATTTGTGGGAGGTGAGCTCCTGTCCGCCGGGTGATGGATGGCGACAGGGCAGGCACAGTACAGACCCTGCCACTGCAGCTCCCCCTTCTCTCTACGCCAGATGACTTTGGGGATGAAAAATGACTTTCTTGGGAAAACCAGGGAGACGGGAGCTTCAGGGAAAGGGGGCCGGGTGGTTGGCACCTTGGAATGACTTTTGCTTTTCTTGCTGAGAGTTGAGTTTTGCCTGATAGTCCAGCCTGATAGTTTCTTTTTCCCTCCCTCCTTTCCTTTCAGGACACATTGCCAGCTGCCTTCATCCTCAAAAATGCCGAAAAAGAAGTGTGTACTTTTACAGATGAGGAGGCTGAGGAAGTAACAGGCCTGGGATTTGAACCTGGGTCCAATTACTGTATAGCCTGACCTCTCTCCATAACAATGTAGTGAAGACCACGTAAGTAGCATGTGCCAAGTTCTTAGGAAGCACAGGGAAGAGAGCAATTAATCTCATGGGGGAAAAATCAGGGAAGACTGCCCAGAAGAGGTGATATTTGAGTTGATTCTTGAAGGGTGAATAAATGTTAACTGGTAGAGAAAGAAGATACGAGGGTTGGAAAGAGAAAAGAGAGGAGTAGCATGCGTTTTTGTTTGCTTACCCCAAGCCAGTCACTGCCCTCTTTCTCCCTGATTGGGCCATGGGCTTGGCTTTATCCAATGGCCATTCATGACGTTTCCACTGCCCCATGAGTGACTGGTTTGGAAACAGGAATGGGAACAATTCTGACCAATGAGATACAGTATAAGGAATGTTTACTCACGGGATTCTGGGAAAGGTTTTCTTGTTCTGAGAAAGAGAAAGCCCCTCTTTTTTGCAGGATGGGGTCTCCTCTGTACCTGATGCCTAGAGGAGTGACAGCCGTCTTGTGACAGGTGGGCGAACTAACACACTAATGATGACACAGAGAGAAGATGGAAGTGACACCACTGAGCTGCTGAATTAATGACCCTGCAGCCATCATACCTTGGAACCTAATCTTTGAGTTGATACATTTTTCTCATTGTTAATCAGCTAAGTTGATGATTTTTTTTTTCAGCTCAAAGCATTCTGACTGACTGATACAAGAGGTAAAAAGGATGCCAAGGCGAATGATTGCTTTCACGCTCAGGCTTGGGGAAGAGATAAAGCTGAGAGACAGAGTGGGTTCAAGTCCCAGCTTAGCTGCTTCCTAGGGAGGCGATGGCTGGAAGAATGGGTTGGGGATGTTTGTCATAAGTTTATTTGTGGGAGGTGAGCTCCTGTCCGCCGGGTGATGGATGGTGACAGGGCCGTGACCTTAGGCAAGTCATTTAATGTCTGTGAGATTCAATTCTTGGGAATGAAAATAATACATCATAGGGCTTTGATGATAAAAAATGCACAAAAAGGGCTGCTTAGCACAGTGCAGGCTGCGTAATAAGTACTCAATACCTCATACCAGTGGTGGCTATTGTTATCATTTTTGAATTTTTGGCCCCTGTGGAAACCTCTACCCTCACCCCATTCTCCCCTTACGATTAGACTCATCTGATCCCCACTCACCCAAATCCAGTTTCCATAGCACTGGCGGTTATGTAGGTGTCCGGGCCTTGGAATTGCATTCCTGAATCTGGAGGAGGAGAAGGGAAGTGCTGGAGCCAGAGCGTGACATTCTCTGGCAGGAGTTGAGGTTCTGCAGCCATAGGTCAACCACAGATGGACCTACATAGGGGACTTTCTCCTTGGCCACGGCTGCTTGGACCTTTCACATCTCAAGTAACTAAGTTATCCTGCATCTCAGGGTCCTTGATAGTAGTGAGAAGCAGGTAACGCTAAAGGATATACCAGGAAGAAGGAGCAGCATGGCATGGCCACCCCAACCTGCGCCTATGCACAGTGTAGCCAGCAGGCAATGAACTAAGGCCTGGGCTGCCACACTGCTTGGGCTCTTTGGCTTGGCTCGAGTCTTTGCTCTCCCTCCTTGCTCTGACTCTCTGTTTGGCTCTCTAACATTGTGGCTTTCATTTCTGAGAGGCATTCCTTGGACTTAATGCTGAAGTCAGTATTTCCTGGTGTCAAGGACGTCCATATTTGTATGGGGCCTACTTTCATCCTGCCATACTCGCCCCGTGCCCCCTGTCTTCCTCTGAGCCCACCTTCTGAGAACCATGTCTCCTTCCTCTATCCTTATGGTCCCTAAAGGAGCCGGCATATTTTTACTTGGCTCCAACCCTCTGACCATAGTTAATTGGGCCAGAGGTGGACACCCAACCAAAGCTAAACCAATTAGAAACATTTTATTAGAGTTTCATCCAGGGGCAGAGCCAATCTCTTTCCAACGTACACGTTGTGGGCTTTAAATCTGGAGGCTAAAGGTAGTCATGCTTCCCACTAGATGAATGGAGTCAGCATGTAATGTGAGAGAATGAGGAAAGCAGAAGTCAATGATGAGATGGTCCTGCCAGCCTCTGAGTCCATGGTGCCCCTGAGCCCATGGTGCCCGATTTCCTCTGAGGCCCAAGGGCACCACTGCCTGGCTTCAGCCTTGAGTAGTCTATCTATCTTAGATACCAGGAGCCAATACAACCTCATTTTTTACTTGACTAGGTCAAGTTGGATTTCTGTCCTAATGACAAGAACCCTGAATGACACCCTCCCAAGCTCCTGGGCTGCCCAGGGCCTGGCCAGTGCTCCCGCCTGACAATGGATTTGTGTAATCACCTCCTTTTTTCCAATTTTCACCCTCAGCCAGGAGTCTGAACCTATCCCAGAGGCCCTGACATGGCTTCTGCCCTTCTTACCCCACTCACTCTCCCTGGGTGACCTCATATATTTCCATGGCTCGGACTTAACAACCCCAATACTTAACACTTCCAAACTCCTAGCTCCATTCTGGACCACATCTGAGCTTCAGGCTTTTGAAACACATGGTGGAGACATGTTGATCACCTTAATAGGGGGCGGCAGTTTTCTTCCTGAAAACAACTGTTTGGGTTGGAGAATACCTTGATAAGCCTTCTTGGAGGCAGGTGAGGGCATGGATGTCAGCAAGCACTACCATGTCAATTGCGGTGGCTGGAAGGTGATGATGTGGTGGGGGAAGCTGCTGGCCCAGGGCCAAGGGCAGGAATTTGTAATTTGGGCTGGTGAAGGTCTGCAGGGGTGGGGAACCGTTTTTCTGCTAAGGGCCACTTGGGTATTTATAACATCATTCCCAGACCATACAAAATTATTGACTTAAAAATTAGCCTGCTATATTTGGTCAAACATTTAATAAACTCACCCCTAATGCCTTGGCAGGGCCAGACCAAATGATTTCGTGGGCCTCATATGGCCTGTGGGCTGGACATTCCCCACCCCTCGTTTAGAGGAGAGAAGTGAAGAGTTCGGGGGAGGGAGAGGTGAACATGTGGAAGAAGAGAGAGAACATAGTAAGGTAGGAGATTGGATGCTATAATAAGGAATGACCAAAGGGAGAGTGGCACCCCCCCCCCCTACTGGCACGGGGATCCCAACGCTTTGAAAATGGGTGATTTCTTATATAAAGGAGTGTAGCATGCAATAGTTAATAGAGAACGTAAAAGGCTTACACCATTTTACCTGAAATCTGGCTACACATGACTGTGTGACCCTGGGCAAGTTACCTAACTTCTCTGAGCCTTGGTTTCGTTATCTGTAAGATGGGAACAGAGTAGTTGTTAGGATTAAATAAGCACTAAGTACAGTGCTGGCATGTGCTGGGCCTTGGAACAACACATCTGTCCAAGGTACAAGTTGTGGGATTTAAATCTGGATGCTACAGGTAATCATGCTTCCCGCTATGTGCGTGGAGTGAGGATGTAATGTGAGAGAATAAGGAGAGCAGAAGCAATGATGGCAAGATGGGAAGGAAAGACAGCCAGTCGAGAGGTTATCAAGCAGGATGCACTGTGGACGCCAGGGGCTTGTTCCACTGGGGACCTCTGGGAGCCGGTGAACAAGAGAAACTGCAGTTCAGAGTATTTAGGGACTTACTCAAGGTCATGGAGTCAACCAGAATGGTGGAGGCAGGCTGCAAACCCAAGAATGCCTGATCTCAGAGTTCTTCGTCCAAGGTAGCTTCATGGAGATAGGACCAAGGCCAGGACTGACGGCTCAGGACTGGATTTCTGGAAGCTGAATCCTTGCTCTCAGCATTGGCTCAGCCAACTGTGGCAGAGTTTGCTTCCCTCATCCTCCCTCCCGTCCTCTCTGCTCTCCTGGAGAGTATTTCCCTGGGGCTCCTGTTACTAGTTTGCAGAGCAAAGGCACGTGCAGGCAGTTCAGGGGTTGGAGCGAGCTCAGCAGTTCTGGTATGGTTTTTAATTCAATATTTTGTCCCTGTGCGCCAGCCTCCTTTATTGGATGAGAACACTGTTATTGGATCCTGCCCTGCAGGAGGAAACGCAAGCTTCCCTGGATGAAGGCAGCTACGTTGTTCTAGAATCTGATGAGACAAGGCAGGGCAAGAAGACAGCAGAGAGTTTTAGAAAATCTGGTGGTTACAAGCTGTTCTGTGACATGCACAAAAACATTAACATATGTAATCTTGACCTTTCCCCTTGCCCTCCGTTCCAGGGAGGACAAAGCCCAGGAGGCAGCCTGCACATCGCCCTCCTCCTTTTCCTGCACATCCGCTGTACAGCTTGGCTCTGATGATTTTTACCTCCACTTTCTCCGAGCCCAGTGTCCTTCGGTTCAAGCCCCAGCATCTCCTGCCTCAACAACTGGCCCCTCCCCTCCCCTGCTGCCTGCCAATCCATTATCCTTATGATAGACCATCTTATTTGGGATCTCCTAAAAGCCTGAGGTAAAGATTCAGAAGTACAGAGTTTATTCAGAGAGTGACCCCAGGAAACACAAGCAGGGGAGTGGGAAAGAGAGTCAGGGAAGGGGAGGGAGCCAGTCAAGGGGTATCAGACTGTTTGCACTGTGGGCACCTGGGACTTGATCCCACTGGGGACCTCTGGGAGACAGTGAACAACACGTGGGTCAGAGTTATCTCACCTGAGGAGGGAGGGAGCTGGGTGTTTGTCTACTAAGTTCTATAAGGCTGAGGGCTGTTCTGGAGCAGGGCGGGGGGGAGGTGGGGAAGGGGGGATGGAGGGCGAGGAAGGGCTGTTAAACCTCTGGCACCTCTGCCTGCTCCACAGGCAAGGAAAGCCTGTTTCTGTGGTCTGAGAAAGTCCTCAGGTATAGAAACAGGTGCTAGCATTTGCAACTGCCCACTGTACACTAAAATGTCAGGGCAAGGCCATGTGGGTGGGAAGCACTGATAGCACATTGCATTTCTTGACTTAAAGCCCCCTGATGGCTGCCCTTTGCTCTTTGGGGTAAAGACCCAACCTCTGTTCTTCATTCTATAAGGTCTCAGCGGGCTGCCCATCTTCACTGCCTCACCTTAGTCCACTCGCTCCCTCACTTCCCGGGGACCAGCCATCTCGGCCTTCTCTGTGTTCCTCTGATGTGCTTTCTGTCACTACAGGACCTTTGTACATGCTGATCCTGCTGCCTGGTCCTTCGATGTCACCTACATAATGCCTATCCATCTTCAGATCTCTAGGCAGCCTGATACCATCTCCCAGGCCGGGTCTTCAGAGCCCCAGGGGATGGTGAAGCCACAAAGTGAAACCCAGATGCCTGAGTCAGTGTGTGGAAGGAAGGCCACGTGACAAACCATCCACATTGGACTATTTTACAATCAAGAAAGAAGCATCCATTTCATTGTGTATTACAGCAGTTAGATTACTTTGATTAATATACTATTTTCACACACATTTTACAGGTGACAGAAAAGAGGCTCAGAGAGAGGTGAAGTGACTTGCCCAGGGTTGCACAGCCAGATGTGGCAGAGCTGGGATTCTGACTTCAGAACATATACAAAATGTAACTGACACTGCTTTCCACAGGTCTTTAATAAATATTTGTTGAATGAATGCAGTGAGTAATCTTGATTCCCTAGCCTTTATGTTAAGAACCTAGGGAAAAAGTAGCTCAAAAATAAATCACAGGGTGACAAAAAAATAAAATCAAAATGCATGAGTCTCCTCCACTATATTGTAAGTTTCTGGAAGACATAGGCTTTACTGTACTCATTTTAAAATCTTTTACAGCATCTAGCACAGTGCTTGGTATGTTATAAGGACTCAAACATGGCTGTTCAATTGAATCATGACAGACAGCAGAAACTGGGTGTTCCCCAACGTTTTCAGATGGTGGAGAAATAGTTTGAAATCATTGTCTTTCTTGCAGAATACCATGAAACAGTGACAAATTAATTTTCAAATGGGTAAATATATAATTTTGTGCTAAAAGCAGATACCATCTTGTAGTAGGCTCTTCTAAAAAGTGAAAGCGGCTGCTAAAGTTGGGGGAAATGACTGGGAATAATTACAAATGAAGACAAGTATACCTATGAACCCTTCCCTCCATGAATTGGCCCACAGCTACCAGGCCCCTACAACTGGATTTTAGAACAGCTGGGCCCAGTTCACAAAAGTGTTCCACAGAATCACATTTTGAAACCTGTAGATGAGGTAGTTGGAGTAGAAGGGACCAATTAATTGATGGACAAGTTTCTGTTTTTATATTTGCTAGTTAGTGGCTGCCTCCTCAGAGCAAGCCACCAGGATTCTACGCAGGCATTTTTGTATTAGCTTCATTCCTATCTCTGTCTTATTCCCTTCTCTACGTTTTTCTTTTCCTTTCACCTTCTTTTAATTTATGCTACCTTGCTATGTTTTATGTATCTGATGTAAGCCACCTCGAATCCTTTCTGGAATAATGTGGAGGTATAAATAAAAACATACAACATAAATATAAACTGTAACAAGCTCTGTAAAACCTATTTCTAAAATACCAACAGTGGTTGTTTATCATGGAGAGAAATAGGATGATTAGAGGTGTGCTGGGGGAAGGGGGGGCAGTGTGCATCCAAAGGGGACAGATCTATGTAATTTTACAAAGCCCAAGATGTGGCATTATAAATAACTTTAATAAACAACATGGAGATAAAAATTAGTTTCATTTTATTACCGCTATAGATATTTATACAGCTTTTTTCAGGGTACAAGTTGAGGAAATACAAATAAACAGAAAGAAGAAAATTAAAGCTGCTCAAAGCCCACTGCTCAGAGACCACCATCACTAACATGCAGTTTCAGAACCTTTGCATCTTCTTCATGTAAGATTCAGAGAGGGGACCCCAGCTTAGAATCTGATGGGTGGGGTGATGGGGGTGAGGAGGAGGAGGAAGAAAAAAAGAGGAAGAAGGAGAGGAAAAGGGGAAGTAAGCAATGGTGGGGGTGGAATTTTTGTATGTGGCCACCTGAGGATAGAAGGGAAATTGGGAGGACATGACGGTGTCTACGGTCTGATCTACATAGGGCGTGAATACCAGGAAGGGAGATTCGTGGGGTCCATCTTGGAGCCTCCAACTCCCTCAGGTCAGTGGCTGTCTGATCATCCCTGGTCTGACTCAGGAATAAAGCCTGATTCTCAGAGGGAGCAATGCTGTGGATGTAAGAGGTGAATGCAGGGTATAAGCAGAACCACTTGGGGTCCAGGTGACAGTGCCACTCAGCACTGAGGAGAGATGCCTGTATCCCATAATTCTGCAAGACACAGTCTAGCTCTAATGCTGTGAGGACCCAAGCAGGAGGCCATGGCACCCCCGAGGTCCTTTCAGCTTCTGAAGTGCCTGATTGCAAAGCCTGGGTCAGGGCGGCAGTGGTGGGGGCAAGGCTCCCTTTCAGGTGACTTGGGAGCGGTAGTTGCCAAGGAAGAGGCCAGAGCAGAGGATCTCTTGAGCGGACCAGCCAGGTATAGGTATACATGGTCATATGCACACCCTGAAAGCACTCAGTCGTTTATGAGAGCTGGGGCTTACACTGGGGCTTACACAGGGGCTTACACTGGGGCTTACACTGGTGCAGGTGGAAGCTCTGAGTCAGAGAATGTTAATGTCATTGTGACATCACTTATATGCTCCAGATGTCAGGCTTGGAAAAATTTAGGTCTTTTAAATATATACATGGACGTGTCTAGATTTTTTTTTTAGCAAAACTTTGAGATTTCACTTGGAGTAGAGAATTTTCTGAAACTTCTAAAGAGGTTGACATAGACCAGTCTTTTTTAGAGTGTATTTCTCATACACTGCTTCCATGGGATATTACTAGGCATTACATGAAAAATGGCTTCTGTGGTCAAATGGACTTGGAAAACATTGAGTGAAACAAAATTAAACAGGTTTCCCCCTATAGGACTGCTTGGAGCTTTTAATATACTGATGTGCACTCTGATCCTCTATGAGAAAGTATGCACACCCTGAAAGCACTCAGTCGTTTATGAGAGCTGGGGCTTACACTGGGGCTTACACAGGGGCTTACACTGGGGCTTACACTGGTGCAGGTGGAAGCTCTGAGTCAGAGAATGTTAATGTCATTGTGACATCACTTATATGCTCCAGATGTCAGGCTTGGAAAAATTTAGGTCTTTTAAATATATACATGGACATGTCTAGATTTTTTTTTTAGCAAAAATCTGAGATTTCACGTGGAGTAGAGAATTTTATGAAACTTCTAAAGAGGTTGACATAGACCAGTCTTTCTTAGAGTGTATTTCTCATACACTGCTTCCATTGGATATTACTAGACATTACATGAAAAATGGCTTCTGTGGTCAAATGGAATTGGAAAACATTGAGTGAAACAAAATTAAACAGGTTTCCCCTTATAGGACTGCTTGGAGCTTTTAATATACTGATGTGCACTCTGATCCTCTATGAGAAAGTGTAAATTTAGTCTATGCTCCTGCAGCTGATTTTGGGTGTGGGACCATTCTCTGTCTTCATTGATATCTGCCGGGAATGGTTCAGGGAGTCTAATGGGTATTAATCAAATGCTCAATTTATCAATAGGTCACAGTAGCTACTAAGGATGGGAATGTCACTCTTTGGTACCTAACCTGCTTTGAATTTGTATATCTATTGCTGCATAACAAATTACCTAAAAACATAGAAGGTTAAAATACCAAAGCATTTATTATCTCACCATTTCTATGGATTGGGAAGTTAGATGGATGATTCTGGCTCCTCATGTCTCATGAGGTTGCAGTCAAGTTATAAGCTGGGGTTGCAGTCATCTGAAAGCTTGCCTGGGATTGGAGGCTTCACTCCCAAGATAGATCCAGTGAATCTCGCTTCCCAATGTTAATGAATAGGTTTGTTCTGTTCAACCTAGAGCATCTTGCAGAAATAATGGACAGTGACCTCTGAGACTAGGCCACAAAACACTTGTGGCTTCTACTCGGATCTCTCTTAGATCATCTGCTCTAGGGGAAGCCAGCCACCATATTATGAGAACACTCAGGCAGCCAGATAGAGAGATCTGCATGGCCAGGAATTGTGGTTTCTGGCAAAGAGGCAGCATATAACCTAATCCAATGATATTATCACACACCCCCAAACCCCCGAAATAATTTCGACTTGCAGGCATGTTAATGAGCTACATTGGAAGTGATTGACATCTTGACTATAATCATAAAAAGACCTTGATCCAGAATTATCCTGCTAAGCAGCTTCCAAATTCCTGATCCACAGAAACTGTATAAGTTAATAAATGTTCATTGTTATTTTAAGCCGCTATGTCTTGGAGTAACTTGTTACAGAGCAATAACAAATTACTAATACACATCCTTAGTGCTAAGCTGCTTCAGCTCACTGACCAAGGAGCCCGTTGACTTCCCAAGCTCAAAGTGGTCTTGACCATTGTCTTTTCACTGACCCCCAATTAGTGGTTGCATAAATAGTTCTCTCCAGTCCTTACTATGAAAGCATCTCTGGATGGTCTGACTCATGAAGATGATTGGTGTGGGGCACTGATGAGGGGAGCCCCTCAGAATTAGGGGTTTATGAAAATCACTAGAGGCCTGGTGCACGAAAATCGTGCATGGGTAGGGTCCCTAGGCTTGACTGGCGATCAGGGCCAATCTGAGGGGCGACCGATGGGGTGATCAGGGGGCCCCTGCTGGCACC